TATTGGAGCTGATCGCCCAGGGTTTTGGGCCGTGGGTATTGGAGCTGGTCCCCCAGTTTTTTTTTTGAAGCAATAGGTATTGGAGCTAATCCTCTCAGGGATCATTCCCAGGGAGGGGGTGGTGGAGCCGAACTCTCGGAATTTGGAAAGTGGATGTTGGAACTGATCCCTTGAGATTTGGAGTATACAGGTTTCCAGCCGATCCTCTGGGGTTTGGGGGTGTTGTTGGAACTGAGCTCCTGGAGTTCGAGCAGGTTGTTAGTGTTGATACCCCAGGATTTAGAGGTGTTTTGGAGCTGAACATCTGCTATTTTGGGTGAGGGTTGTGGTGGTGTAGGGTGGTTTGTAGCTGATCCCCTGAGGTTTGAGTGGAAGGGAGTTGGAGCTGATCCCAGCATTATTTTGAGGGGGAAGAGTTTGGAGCTGACTTAGGCAGGGGACAGAGGATAATGTTAAAGTTACTATTCCAATCAGACAATAAAGGGCCCATAATTGGAGCAGCACAGATACCTAAATAGTTTAGGGGTTGGAATAGTTTACAGAGTTAAGGAGGGGAAAGATCAGGACAGCATTTGTGAATAAAAATAGGAAGTCTAAAATGAAGAAATTCGTTATCCATTGAGCACATAGATGCTGTTAGGACATGGACAGCAGGTTTATGGAGTATTAAACACGGGAGGTGAGCCAGGATCAGATTAGAACTTTCATAAACGCAGATGAGAGTTTCAGCAGCAGGTGAACCAAGGTCAGATGATATTTTTGAGGCAGAAATAAGTGGCCTAAGTCTGAAATTCTAACATTCCTGTGTGACACCAAAATTGTGAACAGGCTGATTCAAGTTCTCTCAGTTGTATTGGAAGGGTGATGGAATCAGTCATTAGTGAGTAGAGGTTGTGGTAGGGGCCAAAGAAAATGCTTCAGATAAAGTTAAGTGTCATTAGTGTACATGTAGAACCTGATGCGTTTGTGGATAGTGTTGATTAAAGGCAGTAAGCAGATGAGAAGCAGGAAGATGTTACAGATACATATCCAAGGGGGCATTTATGCTGAATGTCAATTGTGACTTTGATTCTTATGACTTTTGCAGCTGTGTTGCAGGGTAGTCTGCTCGGAGAGATTCATGTGTGATGTTGGGTCTAGAACAAGCAGTCACAGTCTCAGGATATGTGGTAGGCTATTTAGGACCAAGGTTTCTTTGCTCAGAACGTGGTGGACCTATGGAATCCTCTGCCATGTAAGGCTATGGAGGCCAAGCTACTGAATATATTTTTAAAAATAAATTTCTGAAGGTGTACAGGACTATGGGGAGAATGCAGGAATTGGGTATTGAGGTTGAGGATCAACCATGATTCTCTCGAATGGCAGAGTAGGCACAATAGACTAAGTGGCCTACTGCTATCCCTATTTTTAATGTTAGTTACTGGATAGATGAACAGTGATTTGCATGTAAGTCTGATTTTGATTTAGAAAGTTTGATGTTGGAGGAGACGCAACGTAACTCACTACATAACTGGGTGTTCTCACCTCTAAGTGTGGATTAGAATGATGGCATAGCATCCTCTTATTACATTTACTGAGGTGATAAATGCGTTGGATTGATAGCTTGCAGGCAATATCCTACTGTGACTTTAAAATATACCTTAAGTCTAATTCACGTCCAATTAACAATTAGTGTAATAAATGTCCTGTTATGTCCTCTTAAGAGTTCTTTTAGACATTTTCAGCAAAAACATTTAAGTAGTGCAACTTGAGATAACAAGGTGTAGAGCTGGATGAACACAGCAGGCCAAGCAGCATCATAGGAGCAGGAAGGCCGACGTTTCGGGCCTAGACCCTTCATCAGAAATGGGGAAGGGGAAGGGGGTTCTGAAATAAATAGGGAGAGAGGGGGAGGCGGATAGAAGATGGATAGAGGAGAAGATAGGTGGAGAGGAAACAGACAGGTCACAGAGGTGGGAATGGAGCCAGTAAAGGTGAGCGTAGGTGGGGAGGTAGGGAGGAGATAGGTCAGTCCAGGGAGGACGGACAGGTCAAGGGGGCGGGATGAGGTTAGTAGGTAGGAAATGGGGGTGCAGCTTGAGGTGGGAGGAAGAACAAGTTAGGGAGGCGGGGACGAGCTGGGCTGGTTTTGGGATGCGGTAGGGGGAGGGGAGATTTTGAAGCTTGTGAAATCCACATTGAAACCATTGGGCTGCAGGGTTCCCAAGCGGAATATGAGTTGTTGTTCCTGCAACCTTCGGGTGGCATTGTTGTGGCACTGTAGGAGGCCCAGGATGGACATGTCGTCTGAGGAATGGGAGGGGGAGTTGAAATGGTTCGCGACTGGGAGGTGCAGTTGTTTTTTGCGAACCGAGCGTAGGTGTTCTGCAAAGCGGTCCCCAAGCCTCCGCTTGGTTTCCCCAATGTAGAGGAGGCCACACCGTGTACAGCGGATGCAGTATACCACATTAGCAGATGTGCAGGTGAACATCTGCCTGATGTGGAAAGTCTTCTTGGGGCCTGGGATGGCGGTGAGGGAGGAGGTGTGGGGGCAGGTGTAGCACTTCCTGCGGTTGCAGGGAAAAGTGCCGGGTGTGGTGGGGCTGGAGGGGAGTGTGGAGCGGACAAGGGAGCCAAGGAGAGAGTTGTCCCTCCGGAAAGCAGATAAGGGTGGGGAGGGAAAAATGTCTTTGGTGGTGGGGTCGGATTGCAGATGGCGGAAGTGTCTGGGGCTGATGCGTTGGATCGGAAGGTTGGTGGGGTGGTACGTGAGGACGAGGGGAATTCTTTTTTGGTTGTTATTGCGGGGACAGGGTGTGAGGGATGAGTTGCAGGAAATGCAAGAGACACGGTCGAGGGCGTTCTCAACCACTGAGGGCGGGAAGTTGCGGTCCTTGAAAAACGAGGACATCTGAGATGTATGGGAGTGGAATGCCTCATCCTGGGAGCAGATGTGGCGGAGGCAAAGGAATTGGGAATGGGGGTGGCATTTTTGCTGGAAGGTGGGTGGGAGGAGGTGTATTTTAGGTAGCTGTGGGAGTCGGTGGG